TTTTATAGGGAAACTCAAACTTACCGGTTCAACAAATTCAAACTTCTTTTTTTCTTGAACTTCTTGAATTTTAAAGACATATTCTAGTGATGCTTCATAGAAGTTCTGATGCTCTCGGTCAATCTGTGTATCTGCCTAAAGAGCACAAAGGCAAATCATGACGCAGGGAGTGATTATTGATGTTTCTGTTAGAGAGGGACTCAAATCCTGGACGATTCTGAAGCCACTAAAAATTAAGTCCTGCCAGAAGTTTTAGTATAGCAATTATTATGTTCTGGGAATACAGAGACTAGGAAAACACAGTCCTTGCCCATAAGAGCCGATAATGTATGGGGTGAAAGGGAAAAAAAACAACAAAAAGAATAAGCATACACCATTTTTTATATTTTTTAAAATGTCATAGAAGAGCTACATAAATGTATTTAAAAATGTATGAGATCATACAAAAAGAGACAAGTTCCAGGAGAAAATGGTGGTGGTTTGAGTTGAATTTTAAGATGAACAACTGGCAGTGAATAGGCAAAGATTAAAAAAGGAGTCGCTCCCATGATAAAGGAGAGGCATGAAAGTTTGACAGCCTTTGTTGACAGGGTAAGTGGAAGTAAGGAGGGAGAAGTAAGGTTGGCATCACACTATACATGTTCTCGAACACTGCGTAACAAATTTGGATTTTAACTGAGGAAGAATCATCTGAGAATATTAAGCAGGCGAGCCAGATCATTAGGTAACCTCTTAGGAAGATAATACTGGTAGCAGAGCCAAAAACATTCAGCGGTTCTAACCTAATGATTCACGCTCCCTCAGTGCCATACACATTTATTCTTTATGACTGCAGTAAGGTTGCATTGATAAAGTGTGGGGAAAGTATTATTGAGATAATTTTATATCTTTTGACATTGCCTCTCTCCCCTCTCCTATGCCTACTACCATTCTTGGATGCCCTCTTTTACTGACAGTTTAACTGACTTTGCTTTAATGGAGAGGCATGATTTTACTTTTCTTGCCCAGTTTCATACTCCTTGCTGCCAGCTGAGATTACTAAAAGCAAACGAAAAAAATGGGCTCTCGGGAATACTAAGTATCTGCCAACAACAATTCAGTAATAGAATGTTGCTTTGGAGCCATTTTACAATGATAATTTCACAAACAAAGCTTTTTAAAAAGATAAAATTAAGTTTGCTGGCTTGGGGCACATAGCATCTTAAAACTTAATTTGAAACACTTTAAAAAATAATTATACTTACTATGTATTTATTCATACAATTAAAAACAGCCCAATAGTATAAGCAACTCAATGGAGATTTTTCAAGTTGAGAATTCTAAGTTTCTAAACTAATATACGAAAAGAACATATAAATTGGGAAGGAAATTTGAACCAGAAGCTTCTCAACTCCCAAAGACTACTTAGAAAAGATACATATCAAGAAAATGACAATCAGTATTCTACAACAATCATATATATTTTCTTTTTACCACTTAGAGGAGCACACTATTTATAGAATGAATGATAAGGAGGTATAGTTAGTGGCATGCTAATAATGTTTCACAACTGGCTCTCTAGTGGGGAAAGCCCCATCTGCAGTATTTGCTGGTTTCTGTGGTGTAAATATTCCCAAAACAGCCAGTTCCAAACAACAAACCCAACATTGCTGAGGGACTGAGATGAGAAAATTGGCTCTCCAAGAGAAAAGCTTCCGTACACCACTGGGTGCAAAGGACACAAGGGTATTTTTAGTCTCAGAGATAGCATTCTATTCCACAGGTTATTTCTGAAGGTTTTATTTACTTTAAAAGATAACATCAGTGATTGTGTTGACTAGCGCATGGGGAACAAACTAGAATGTTGAGACACCTTTAGAGCCTATGTGATTATTTCAGGTCAACAAAGCCGTGCAGAAAAAGCACAGCAGGCGTGCACGCCACCTGCTGAAAGGCCGGCTTACTAGGCTGGCCTTTGGCTGGCATCTGGGAATGTTGACTTTGGGAGAGGTCCCATCACCCTAACTGATAAGAGTAGCGCACTAAGCCAAAACTGTTTGTGTAAACACTATGGTTTATTTCAAAGCCCTGCTTTCCTTCCGGAAGTCTGGAACTTGGGTCCATGACAAGCAGAAGGTGCCTAGTGACCAGCTTCCAATAAAAACCATGGGTGCTCAGTCTATAATAACTTCCCAATAGACAACATTTCCCACGTGTTTTAACAACTCACAGCTAGGGTAATGAAATGCGTCCTGTGTGTCTCTGCTGGGAAATGACTCTTGGAAGCTTTTGCCTGGTTTCCCCCAGACTTCTCGCTATGCAGACTTTGCTGATTTTTCTTTCTATCCTTTTTCTGTAATAAATCATAGCTATGAGTCCTCTGAGCAAATCACCAAATCTGGGGGTAGTTGGCAGGACCTCTGACACAAGTCATTCCCTCAGAAATGTATTTGCCATACACAATCCCATCTCATCAAAGGGGGTAGGGAGAGGCACAAAGAAGGATAAAAGAAAAATAATGACTCCCACCATGTGCCAGTTATATTTTCCATCACTTCTAATCTAGATTAATTTGCTATACCAAATCTGTTTTGAAAGGTCATCTAGAATGTAAGTGCTTAAAGAATACAACAGCTTAATTCCTTTTCAGTACAAGATTTAGAAAGACATTCTTTCATTTGAGATGAATTCCTTTAGTACTTGCTTATATGCCCATTAGCAACTGTTGCTTTGTATTTTGTACATATAATTTACAGTCCAAACTTTTTAAACTGAAAGAGGGCACTGATAATAATTATGCCAGAACAACAGGTATAAAACTGTTGTTTATATGGCAAAAGGGGCGGTAAAGTCATTCTAGTAAGAAGCCAAGTTAGTAAGAAAATCATATAGTTCTGCAGAAACCTAAATTATTCCCCACCTACAATAAACTATCTGAATTCATTCATTCTCCTGTGCCATTTCGGATGTTTCTAAATTTTTGCATTGTGAATAACACTTGGGTCAACACATTTATACAATTTATTTTTATGCTCATTTCTGCTCATTTCTCTTGGGTGAATCCCTGCCAATAGATATCATTTCAACTATCTTGCACATTTAAAATTTGTTGAAATATGTCATCAAGTTTACCTGAAGAATGATTGGTTTTCTGTTTCTACCAGAAAAACAAAAGTGTGCTCAGTTTCCCATACTATCACAAACAGTGGATATTATCTTTTAATAAATTATACTAATATCCTGCTATTATTAATTTGCACATTTTTAATACATGTGACACTGAAACTTAAAATATTCACTATGGTTTATATTTCTCCTTTAATAAAATGCCCATTCACATTCATTTTCAACTGAAGGCTATCTTTTTCACACAGGTTTGCAAACACACCTTGTTCATAAGAGATGGTAATCCTATGTTATATGCTGTATAAATTCCCTAATGCTTGCCTTTTAATTTGATTTAATGTCTTATAAAATAGACATTATTTTCATGCCTTCTGGTCTTTCTACGTTTCCATCATGATCTCCTCTTCTTATTTTATGCTTAGAAAGAAATTATCTACTCACATATTAAATGTTCTTTCATCTCCTGTAAAGGCTATAGCCTTGACAAGTCTGATTCCAATCTGTTTGTTTCAATGATCCATCTAATTAATGGCCTTGGAGCTTTAGCGACACAAGCCGATCACTAGTTCAGTCCTGAAAATGGGAAGCTGCGTATTTTCCATGATAAAAATGAACAAGGAGTGGGTACTAGACTAGGCAGGAGGATCACTTTCTAAATTATATAAATGTCTAACCATGATTCTGTACACCTGAAATTAATAAAAATAGTGAATGTCTAAATAAGTGAATGAATGAATGAATGAATGAGTGAGTGAATAAATAAGTAAGTAAATAAAGTGGAAACAAGAAAGAACAAGGAGTCAGGTGAGAAGGCACAGAGCGGTCTTTCTGAGAACAACTCAGTAAGTTTGGTGCTGACCGAAGGACAAGAACTACTCCGGAAAGGAACACATGATGTTTAATGCCATGTTATGAAATTAAATGTGTATCAGCATCTCCCTGTAACAGGTTTGATTCCTGGAAGTGTGGAGAAGAGGAAAAGCCAAGCTACATTTTTCTTTGTCTACATTTTGTGCTCTGAGGAGCTGCTATGGCACAATTTGTGTGGTGTGTTGTGGGGCTGTGCCTCCTGGAAGAGAAGTTATGTGCACACGTGCGGAGTGGGCAAGTGGGGGATGTTATTAACCATGCTATAAGTTTGTCTAGCTTTCAACTAAATACAGAACCAGAACGGATATTCTATTCCACCACAGCCTAAGGGATTGAGGGCCACTAACAAGCAAAATATTAAATATTGAGCTAGGTAGGTTATCAGGGAAAACGAAAGCATATCCTTTACAGGACACTGAAATCAGAATAAAGTTAGTATTTGCTTGATGGTTTAAGCAATGTCTTGTCTAAAGGTGGCCTCTCACATTTACCGAGAATCTGATGAACCTATACCCTTTATGGAGACTCTAAAATCCATCCTTGATTTTGAGGCAGCTTTTTAAATGGCACCTGCCTATGGCACTTGGCACAGAAGATGGTGTACTGGTGATAATTACAGGGGTCTTTCTACACATGACTTCAACTACAGACTGCGTTCTCTTTTATGTTTATTCTAATGCAACGTTTAAAATGAAATGTAAGCATTTAAGAAGTTTCAATCAGGTAAATATAACATAAATTTGTATGGAACCACAAAAATCCTAAATAGTCAAAACAATCTTGAGAAGAACAAAGCTGGTGGCATCATGCTCCTTGATGTCAAACTCTATTACAAAACTACAGTATAAAAAACAGCATGGTATTGGCATAAGAACAGAAGCAGGCCAACAGAAGAGAACAGAGAGCCCAGAACTAAATCCACGTATATATGGTCAATAAATTTAGGACAAAGGAGCCAAGAGTTATATAATTAGGGAAGAACAGTATCTTCAATAAATAGTGTTGGGAAAACTGGACAACCACATGCAAAAGAATGAAACTCAACTACTATATTCTACCATACCAAAAATTAACTCAAAATGGATTAAAGACTTGAACGAAAGTCCTGAAACCATAAAACACCTAGAAGAAAACATAGTTGGTAAGCTTTTTGAGATAGGTCTTGGTAATGATTTTTATAAATCTGACACCAAAAACAAGAGCAGCAAAAGCAAAAATCAATAAGTAAGACTACATCAAACTAAAAAGCTTCCACACAGCAATGGAAACCATCAACAAAATGAAAAGGCAATGTACTAAATGGAGGGCTATATTTGCATATCAAGTATCTGGTAAGGGGCTGATATTCAAAAATATATAAAGAATTCATACAACTCAATAGCAAAAAACAAACAATCCTATTAAAAATGGACCAAAAGATCTCAGTAGACATTTTTCCAAAGAAGACACAGAGATGGCCAACTGGTATGTGAAAAGATGCTCAGCATCATTAATAATCAGGGAAATGCAAATCAAAACCACATATGACATACCCCCTCACACCTGTTAGAGTGGCTACTATCAACAAGATAAATAATAACAAATGTTGGAGAGGTTGTGGAGAAAAGAAAACCTTTGTGCAGTTTTGGGAAGAATGTAAGTTGGTGCAGCCATTATGGAAAACAGTATGGTGCGTCCTCAAAAAGTTAAGAATAAAACTACCAAGTGATCCAGCATTTTTACTTCCAAGTATTTATCTGAAGAAAACAAAACACTAACTTAAAAAGATGCATGTACCCCACATTCACTGCAGCATAATTTACAATAGCCAAGATATAGAAACAACCTAAATGTCCATCAATAAATGAATAAGTAAAATTATACTGATGGTAACCAGTTTGAGCATCTCTTGTAACTGCAGAAGTCAAATGTGACTTGTATTCATCTTTTGTTATCAGTGTATATTGAGTTTTAGAATTTTAATAGTTTTTCCCTTTCGTAAAATGTGTATACATTTTCTTGGCACCCTCTGTGTACTCAGACACAAAAAAGAATAAAATCTTGCCATATGTGACAACATGGATGGACCCTGAGGGCATTATGCTAAATGAAAAATCAAAGAAAGGCAAATGTCATATGATCTCTCCTTATATGTGGAACCTGAAATATAAAAATAAAAGCTCAGTGATAAACTGAACAGATTGGTGGTTGCAAGAGGCAGGGGACGGGGGGCAGGGGAGATAAAATTTTAAGAAAAAGGAAATTGAGGATGGAATGATGCAGACATAATAAGAGATTAAGAGCTTCCTAGATTGAAGCAAACAGCAAGTGCAAAGGCCCTGAGGTATGCTCAGTCTTGGCTAATTTGGGCAAGACTAAAGGTTAATACAGCCAAAGCATGGAGTAAAAAAGTAAGGAAAGGAAAAATAGAAGGAAGATGAAAAGTTTGGAGCATGTGAACATAATACGAAGAAGTTGGAGAAGAAGCAGTAGAAGTAATAGTAATAGTAGTGGCAGTGGTACTAGTTGTTTGGAACATGTGAACATAATATTAAATTGCAACATTAATACTTCAGAAGTTAAATATGCTTATGAAAATTAAAAATATAATTTTTCTTAATGGCAGGTTTTTCTCCATTTCACTTTAGCCACAAAACCTTTCCAGAGACACACAACTACATATTAACTTATCCTGCTTTAATAGCAGGTGTTCATAAGATAGAAGTTATAATGACCTCATGTTTAAATAACAAAACTTCCCAATATGAAACATATTTAAATGAAGAAATTCAATCCCCTCAAGGAGAACATATGAGTGTAAAAAAAAAAAAAAAAGGGAATCAGAAGCAAAAATCACCCTATCACAGCTTTTTGATGCAGTGAAACTCGAGTCATACGCTAACTTGTCAGGCATCCCTGTGGCTGAATGTGGAGGTAAGAGAAATAAGAGCAGGAATAGGGAAAGCGGAGGACCAGGCTGAATTTGGAAAGCAGCTCAGGAAGGGAGGTAGCTTTGCTGGAAGGATTAGGATGAGGTATTTAAAAGAGGTTCTGAAGTGTGATACCTACTTGTAGAAGTACAAACAGAAGAGGGATGACAAACTAAAGGAGACTCTCAGCATGGTACAAGATTCCCAATGAATGTCTGGAGAACAGTAGCGAGCCCAGCTACCTCAACTTCCAACTTGCAGCTGAGACACCCATGGTATGGTGGGGGAAAATGTGCGTGGAGTGTCAAGATTTTATTGCTGCTAAGGTGGAAATGACAAGAGAGCCCGGTTTAAAAAAAACAAAAAACAAAAAACATAGTCCATCACTGGAACTAGAACTGCATTATTCCTTAGTAAAACAACTACAAGATTTTACTGATTATAATTAAAACACTGTCAGTGAAAAAGACAAATATTTCAGAAAAAGGGGAAAATTGGACTGCTTATATGCATACAGGTTAGTAAAATATTTCTGACTTATTCTTTAAGAAAATTGATATAGCGCCGGCCGAGTGGCTCAGTTGGCTAAGAGCTCGCTCAAGAGTGCATGCTCTGAACAACAGCGGTTCAAGTCTCAGCCCAAGCTGAGCTGCCAACAGGTGGCAGGGTGGCTCAGCTTAAAAAAAAAAAAAAATTGATATAAAGTACTTGAGATTTTAAAATGTGCAATTGTATCTTTTCTTCCTTAATGCTCAGACAACACCTTAGAAACAGATATTTTTAACTTACTATAAAAGCTATACCATGAATTTGATAGGTCCTGCCATTTAAAATATACCCAAAAAGAAGAAAATGAAAAAAATCTTGTTTTACTTTCTCATTGTTGAAGGAAATATCATCTCTTACTTGGAACTATGAAATTAAATGTCATAAGACATGTAAAATGTTCAGTATAATGCCTGTCCATAGTAAATGCTCAGTTAACTATTCTTATTATTATTTTATTAAAGTGTAGCAGATTCTGAGATACTTTTACCTTTGGAAATTTGGATTTCACATGTCTTAATGCTAATGCCCTTCCCACATTTCAATTGGAATAGCTTACCTCTTGCAAATGAGACTCCTTTTTCTTTGCAGACAAATTTAAATGCTTGTCAAGAATGGAATAGTATTTTTCACTCTCCTTGTCAAACTTCTTTTTTCCATCCTAGGGAATAACAACAAAACATTAAAATCACAGCCTCAAAAAAATCCTTGATTTTCACCATCCCCATCAAATGTCCAATTAAATTATTTAAGATTTAGTGAGCTCCAACTATGTACAAAACATGATGGAGTAAGAAGAAGAGCCTGAAACAAGTCATTTGAATACGTATCCTCTCAAAGAAGCTCATGAACTGTTGTATGGAGAGGCCAGACTAGCTGCAGTAGAAGCCCACTGAGCACTTTATCATTGATTCTCAATGAGAGATTCTGACCTAGGAAGTCTAGAGCAGGGGTCGGCAAACTGCGGCTCGCCCAGCCACATGCGGCCTTTTGGGTACATTCCGTCTCAAAGGTTTGCCGACCCCTGGAAAAGCCAATCCTGTCCCTCACAACAATTTAAAAATTATTCGAGAGCCATAAATATATTTTTACATCATCACCATTATGTGAATAATATCCTTTAAAAATTTTATAAATAAAACTATGATAGTTTTATTTTCATTTTCAATTTTACTTCAGAGCCTGCGGCCACTGAGCCACAGTTTGCTGACCCCTGGCGGCTCTTTAATCTCAAAAGTTTGCTGACCCCTGGTCTAGACCAAGAGAAAATGTTTCTTTTAGGCTTTTTGGTGATTCGGATGAGGTAATATGTAACCAGTTTAGAGAACCACTTGCACAGGGTCGTTTTCAAGGGACCCTATTATTTCTCAGCCACAAAAAGATACTTGATCTTTTCAACAACTCGTTCTTGACAGGGAAGTAAACAGGCTTTGAAAAGCATGAAATCATTAAATAAGACAGTTCAAAGTCAAATCAAAAGGAATGGCAACATCTGTATTATACACACAACATATAACTAATAGCTGACCTTCGCTTATCCCTAAAACGATCTTGTTTTTGCTTTGTAACCAGAATGGCCTTTTGGGGAGGAGGATAACTTTACCTTTCACCCTAGCGCATGCTTCTATAAAAGTGCAAATGGAATACAATCCTAAAAGGAACAGGACATGCCTGGACATGTACTATATTCTCCAACTATAAATACGTATGTTTTTTTCCATTTATGAGACCATATGAAATAAATACTAGGTAACCATACTCAAGCTTCATTGGCCAAAGTAGTACTATTCCTTGCTCTTATTTCAGTGTTTCAATGTCTAGACCACTTTAATCAGTCAGGTATTTTTAAGCCTATTCAAAATATGGACTCCTAGTTCTCCCATCCAGAGATTCATGCATTGCAATTGTTAACAAGCTCTGTGTCATACACCTAAAACCAAAATAATATTGTATGTCAACTGGGTTGAAAAAATTTTTTTAAAACAAGCTGTATAATTATTATACATAAGGTTTTGCTTCATTATCTGCATAAGTATTTGGAAGAGGTTAAAGATAATGGATGGATGGATGAATGGATGGGGCAAGGAGGCGGGTGGGGGAGGAGGGGAAGAAAGGAAGAAGGGAGAAGGCAGGCAGGCCTCTAGCCTACCTTTTCCATTATTCTGAGGTTATCAAATTCAGGTTAACACATCCAGGTAATTCTATTTCAATTCAATGGCACTTGGAACACCTTATCTCCTATATTATATTTCCAGGAATCCGGCATCATCTAGTTCCATACAAGAAACTTTACAGAGTTAACTGGTAAAACTGTGCTGAATGGGAAGGGCAAGTAGGCTCCTGATGTAAAAGTTCAAATCACTTTCAGACCATTTAAGAAGCCCTGACGTGTCTGTAGTTTACAATGTTACACCTATAAATGGGGGTGGGGGAGGGGTGGCAGGAAGGAGTCAAAATCCTCAAAGGATTTTTATTACCTAAGGAGAAAATGTGGTACTATAAGGAAAAACACAATTGGAAAATAAATCCTAAAAAAAGGTCTGTTAGGAACTCACATACAATATGTGCGGACCCAAAAGGGAGCCGGCCGAAGGCTCAGGCCTGGAGGTGCTTGTCCTCTCCACTGCTGAAACAGATACCCGGGTGAACATTTCCTCTTTCGCTCAGGGGATGTAACTCTAAAACTGGCGTTTCATGCCCAAGCTACCTTCCAAAAGCCTCTCTCACCATCCCCTCTGGAGCTCCTATTCTCTTCTTTCTTCTCTCCAGGCCATCCGCACTCTGACATAATACCTATTTCTTCCAATGTCCACATATTCAAGTCATGTCTACTTTGACATCCAGCTCAGACAAGATCTCATTCCCAAGTTCCCTCCATCACCTCTCTCTCCCTTCCGAATGCTCATAGTGCTTTCTATGAATACATGGGTTTCATATGGTGTTCTTGTTCTGCCCTGTAGCAGAGAAATGTATGTATACCCTGTCCTCCTTAAAATTGAGTATCTGAGAGTGCTCTATAAATATTTAATGAGAAAGTGAAATTCTTCCTCTTATAACACTGGGCACCACAGTCCGTCACAGACATTCCATTGGTTCAAAAAGTCAATATCTATATTACAAGGGACAATTCTGCACAAATGGCCTTAACTCTAACCCAATGGTACATGAACATTTGTGGGCCATCAGCTGCATTACAGTATAATACATAAAACCGATTCACTTTCATCTTCCAACGGGGGCTTAACATTTCTCACTGTGCATAGAAGAAGAAACTGGTTGAAGGAGGAGAGAACACAGCTGTGCTCACTACACTTGCATCTTTGTTTTTAGTCAGTGTTTGATGGCATTTTTGGAAATGTTAATTCAGGGCCAACACATCAGCATTCCTGGCAATAGAAAAATTATTCTCAGAAGCACTGCCTGGACTCTTATTCAAACCCAGGCTCTTCACACCATCAGGCCAGCAAAAAAGATCTACTCAAAGGTTCTAATGATGTAGACAACAAAAGCACACTCAGCTCTAACATAAAATTAAAGAGCTGAGTTTGAAGAGTAGGCCACATGAAGGACAACTGTGATCTAGGGAGGCAAGTTCTTAAAAACAAAGCATACTTCTTACAATTCCTATCTCCCCCCAAAAGCCATGATTTACTGCTCATGTAAGCCAAGCCTATTTGGACCTAGTAACTTAATATCTACAGCTAGCTACCTCTTGTCTCTCTGTGTTACTGGTTGTGCATATCGAGCTAAGAATTTTCTCTGAAACCCGCTGCAGAGGGTAAGGAAAAATTACCCCTGAATCTTTTCTAAATGCTGTGCATGATCACTGTCTTCTTATTGTCATGGCATGATTCAGAAAAGACTACAGTATGACGGTTCATTTTCTGTAAATTCACAGTGACTGTACTTGCACTAGGTAATCATTAAACATGAAGACATATATATGTATGTATGTATGTGATATGTATGTATATGATAAAATACTTTAAAATCATCAAAAATGGCAAATTAGTGCCCAAACCTAGTTGTAGCTGGCGAAAGTATAAAGTAAGTCCTGGGTATGCAATCAGTTTGTTTTCCAAACTACACTGCATGTATTCTGAGCACAGTGATCATATTATCACTTACCGTGTTTCCCTGAAAATAAGACCTAATTGGAAAATAAGCCCTAGCATGATTTTTCAGGATGCTTGTAATATAAGCCCTACTGCAAACATAAGCCCCAGTTTAAGATCGTCAGCCAGACATGACTGTTAGAATCAATGTAGATTTTTGTACATGAATAAATGAATAAATGCAGATTGTTAAAGCAAAAATTAATATAAGACCCAGTCTTATTTTCAGGGAAACACGGTAGCTTCTAAGATTAGCAACTGTCGTCACGCCACACCTTCATTTTATGCACTGAAATGAGGAATAAGAGAAAACCATTACAGCACAAATTCCAAGCGTCAATTTTACTCTTAAAGTTTAGTTTGTATATAACAAAATAATTGTGAAACAGTTAAAATTAACTATAGGTATATCATGGATATAAAAAAATATATATGAAATTATACGCAATTGTTAAAACAAGGCCAAGCCAATGCTTTCCACTGACCACAAGAGGGTACCAAAGATGAAGAATACACTCACAGCGTTCAGAAAATCACAAACTGAAAGTGTTTTTTTCTACAAGACTACTGCAAAGTTTTGTTTAAACAATTGTCTTAGCAACGTTTATTTTAATGTTACAGTGATGTAATTTTTTTTAAATAAAGGAAGTAAAAAAATATTTTGTATCTATTTAAAAGAAATGGAGCACATATTTAGAATTTATGCATCAAATTTTAAAGACAACCCCAATGCTATAATTGCCACACAGGATATTGCAAAATTTCCTATGCAAATATTTGTGCGATCATGTTAAATGAGCACTATGTATATATTTCGAAAAGATCCTTCAAGAGAATGCATTAGAAGTAGAAAAGGGAATATGAAGAGTAGTAATAAATACCATAGCTCAATTTCTATTTAAAAAACACATGGACTTCTTGTAAACTGGCAGTGTGCTAGGCATTGATATATAGCCCTGACTACACCGATCCTGGCTAGACTTCTACCTCTTCCGATGGTGGGATTTACTCACTGCCCAGAATAGCCAGATGCTAGGATATTCCAACCACATGCTGTGTAGGAGTTTACTGAGGCCCAAGAAATTCATGGTATCCAGAATCCCAAGTTGCTGAGAATATTAGTATAGCTTACACAGCAATGTCCCTCCTGGGGGTGATTGCACCCAACCACCCTCAATCTCCCCAACCCATTCCCCACCAACTCCCTCCTCCTCGATTTGCTGAAATACAGACATTCCAAAAGGGCTCCTTCCAGGGTTAGTTGCACCAGCAAAACTCAACACATCTCCCCCATTCCCAATTACCTCACCACTACCACCACCAGGTGATGAGATTCCTAAGAACCAAAGGTTTCATATTTGCTGTTTTAAGGAACTCCTATAAACTGAAGCAGAAAAACAAAAAGAAATGTGTGAAGAATATGAAGGAATAAAACACAGACAAGGAAGGGGAACAAGCATATGAAGAGTTTTTCAAACTTGTAAGTAATAAGAAAAAAGCAAATTAAAATATTAAGATAGCTCATGATATCTATTAGGTATTGGCA